ACATCTTTAGTCTTTCAATAAATTAAGCTATTATTCCATGTAAGTACATACTTACTAACTTAATTCCTTTTTAATAACTGCATAGTATTCCACCTTAAGGATTTATTGTTTTTCTATTAATGAATATTGATATTAAGTTTTCCTTATTATAAAAAAAAATTACATTGTACCTTTACCCATCTTTAGTTGTATTTCTGTAAAAATAAAGTTCCAGAAGTAGAATTGTTGACTCCAAGGTTATGGCCATTTAAAATTTGATAGATATTGCCAAACTGAGTTTTTAAAAGGTTTAATCCATTGAGACTTACAAATAATAAAATGTAAAAGTCTGTCTGTGGCTTAGATTATTCTCTTAGTATTGATCAAAGCTCAGAAGCAACGAGATCAAAGAGATCCATATTTTTAATCATTTTATCCATGTTTCTATCCTTTTCATTCAACTATCGATCTACTGTGCTTGCTGTAGTAAGTCAAAGAACACAGGATATATAAAGAAAAGTAACTATTTCCACCTTTGATCTTATGCCATTAAGGCAATCAGTGTTAACAGTCTGTGGAATACATCCTTCCTCATTTTATGATTCTACAAACATATGCACACATATACAGGGTGCTTGGCTGTTCAAAAACAGGATCACACTACAGGCATTACTCAGCAACAACTTGCTGTTCCCACTTAAAATAAAGCTATCTTTCCATGGCAAAGCACAGGGTCTATTTTGATGACTATATTATACTCCATAACATAGATATGCTATATACTTAACTCAAATACTCCCTCATTAAATAGACATTTCACCTCTGTATTTTTAATGCTTGTAACAATGTACTGTTATAAGAAATGTCTTTGCATGTATACACATTTGAACTAGTGTATGGAAAAAAGATTCCCAAAAGTGACTGCTGGGTTATTGGTCATGTGCATTTAATGTTTTAATGTTTAATAAACACTGCCAGATCATTTCCCATGAAGTATATAGCAATTCACCCCAGTCCCCTGGCCAGCTGATTTCCCTCCATCTCATCAGTAATGGATGCTATTCATCTTTTCAATGTTTGCCAAAAATGTGCAGAAAATTGGTATCTTATGATGGCTTAATATGGACACTCTTGCTGCTTCTGGGATAAAGTACTTTTTATATGTTTATTTGCCATTTTTGCTTCTTGTTCTGTAGACTTCTTGACATAGTCTGGTTCCTTAAAAAATAGAGCCTGAGGCAAAGCTAAGCAAGAATGCTTTATTTGGAGGTGCAGTATTAGCGATGTGAGCGAAGGAAAAGGAACGGGAAGCGGTAAACATGGGTGTGGCACATTACCAAATCAGCCAGTGTTTGATGGAGCAGCCTAGCTGGTGGCTTGGCCAGCATGCAGGCAGTCTCTGGACAGACAGAACTGAAACAGCATCCTTTGAAAGAGTCCGCTGGAGGGTGGGCAGTAAAGAGGATTTACCTGCAGCTCTCTCCCCACTCCCTTTGAATTTTAACTATACTTCACAGGAAATTAGCCTTCCCTCTCCTTCTAGAAGGAGCTCTGGTGTTGTAGTGCCCAAGGCATTTGACTGCTCCCAGAAGGCTGGTGGTTCAAATCCACCAGCCACTCCTCGGAAGGAAGACTGGGAAATCTACTTCCCTAGTGATACTGCCTCGGAAACCCAAGGAGGGGTCACTATGAGTCGGGGCCCACTTGATAGCAGTGGCTTTGGGGTTTTTTTTTTTTATCTCCTCCTAGAAGATTATGCTACCTAGCCCATCAGCAGTCACTGGGGAAGTCAGATGTCACGCTATGCCTCATAGAACTCAGAAAGTGGAAAAGGGACCAGAATGTAGATGTTGGTCTCAGGATGAAGAAGCAGCCAGACAGCATCAGAGACAAGAAAATCTGAGTCATGTAAATGATGAGCCCAGCCCTCCACATATGCTTTGCCCCTGTAGTCTGTTGTGTTTGTAATTTTCTTACTAAATGATAGACATTTTGGTTACTAGGAGAGAAACCCTTTGCTTAATACGTGAATTGCCAATATTTTTTCCCAGAATATTCTGTCTTTGGATCTTACTTGTCCAATCTTCTGCAACAATGAATTTTTGTTTTTTTCAAATAAACAAAAAAATGCCATGGTATCTAAGTTGACATTACATTACATGTTTTAAATTTTAATTTGACAAGGAGCAATATTTTAACAATATGATTCATCACTCAGAAATACACACAGGTCTTTAAATAAAGTTTTATAATTTTCTTTATAAAGGTCCTGTAATTTCCTAGTTAAATAAATTTCTAAGCATCTTATATGTTGTTGTCACTAGACTGACAGGAAATTTTTTTCATTTCCATTTCTATTAAGTTACTGGTTATAGGTATCTATATCTAAACATAGCTCTTGGTTTTGGTATATACATATATCTGGG